CAGAAAACCACAGATCAAAAATGTCTTTCATTTGCATTAAGTATTAACTATGTCCTTTTTCTCATTGAAATTCTACCATGGTACACAAGCAGTTAACCGTTCACAGATTGTCCGCCATTTGAGACAATTTTCTGGGAATATTCATTCTTTAGCCTACTCATACAAGTTCATCCTCCAACTTAGATTTTTCAGATACGAAATTCTACCACAGACATATGCATAAAAACATCTTAGTTATGTTCTAAATTTCTATAAAAATGTGGGCTCCAGGAGAACACCCTAAACAACAGTAAAATATCTATTATTTAAGTTAAAACAATCGAGTACCAGAGCAAGTAACTCAAACCTCATTAATCTTTGTAGAAGTATCAGCATCAACTGTAGACATGTCGACGTAACCTTTTCCGGCACAAATCTGCTCAAGAATGCCATCTTTGCCAAAAACCACCTAGGTATTTTGCATTTCGATAAGTAGAAGTCAAGTAAATGAAGTGTCAAAATACCAAAGTGAAAAATACCAACCGAATGGGCAGCAGAAGGATCAGATAACATTGCAATTGTATACTTGCACTTCTTAACCACTGCTGCAGGGGTTTCTGCAACAGAAGCACCATGCTCCACGAGCTCGTCACACTGCAATTGAAGTTTTCAAGTCACAACATACGGTAGAGGTTTAGCCTAAGCTCAAGCTCAACTACAGACCATGCGGAGATTTTCAGTGATGATAACAGGAACACACTGAGCTTTCCATGGAATAAAATTTGAATTAGGTTAACTAGCAGGTTGGTTCTTGAAACCCAAAAGCAACGTGGCAATGTGTTGCTTATTCAAATTTGAAAAGCTTCTAACTTTAATACAAATTTTAATTTCTCAAATAATAATGGATTGCTCCTTACATTCCAGTTTTCAGTGCCCCACTCATATCCATGTGTGCATTCTACAATGATTTAACTCACTGATTAGGTGCAAAAATAACGAGTGTATATGTAACTCACATAAAACATTAACACAATTGATACCTTAATTTTATGCAGACCACCCTATCTACAACTTCTTTTAAAAGGTTGCAAGCAAATAAATGTAGGCAATAACTATTATTACGACCAACTTTTTCTGTAATACTTGAAGTCCAGAGTTACTTACACCAAGCAGGAAAATTTTCAAATAAGCCACTCTGTTTAATATGATGAGACAAGTATGTGTGTAAATTAACAGCCCAACAACTTTGCAGGAAAAAGCCGAAAAGAAATTACTTCCAGATAGATAGCTCGAAAATGCACAAGTACATGCATACATTTAGATAAACGTTCACCTGTCAGAATCCCAGATTAATATTTGTCTGAATGTATGCCCAGATTCTCAGTCCATCAACATATGTTAGCACTTGGCATTCTTACATGTATACATACATACATACATACATACATATATATATATATACACACACACATGATTTAGTAGACAAACTTGGCTCTTGAATTCATAGGGTACGTAACAACAATTAACCACAGTGATGATTATAACATTAAGCAACATTCAAACAAATAAGTATCTTCTTCAATAACAACAATAAGTACCTTAGAGAGGGTCCTGTTCCAAACGGTGACCTTGAAGCCATGGCGAAGCAGATTCATGGACATGGCTTTCCCCATTATTCCCAGCCCCAAAAACCCGACCTCCATCTCTCTCTCTCTCTCTCTCTCTCTCTCTCTCTCTCGCCAACAAATAAGTACACTCTCAATCTCAATTTAAAAATAAAGAATTTTAGCAATTATAGAGAGATATTCACTGTATCATCATCAAGCAGACATTGGAGTGAAGCTCAACTTCAATTTTAAAACAAAAGAAATGGCAAACATAAAGGTTGAAATGGAAGCCAATGGTGGGGTGCTCTCCTGTCGTTTTTTGGACGGATGGATGCGGTTCCACGTCAATCCCTGATTCTTCTGTTTGTCTCCTCACTTCTCCAACTAATCTTGGGAGGCAGCCAATTGCAGCCGTCCACGTTGCTGCTGTTCTGCATCTTTATTTCTTTTTTTTTCCTTTTTTGTTTTGTTTGAGTTCTGCATCATTATTTATTTATTTATTCAGTGTTTTAGTGTGGCAACTATATTGTTAATTAGCTCACTATTTTTTATTTTTTTATACAAGCCGATATTAGAAGATTGAGAAATCGAACTTAAGACTTAGAACGTAAAATAAATTGTGATAACCTGATTCTAAATTAATATTAAATTATTAAATTATTAAAATAAAAGACAATTTTACCCCGAGAGTATTTTAATGGGTTAATAGTTGACTTTTTGTTCGTGACAGAATTTGGGGATTCGAGTAGTACTATTGCATAGAGCACGGCGATACGAGTTCGTAGACATGTAATGGGCTCAAATCGAAGTTTTAACGAAGAAGTTACAATCAACTGAAGTGTAGTGGCACAACCATAAATATTTCAAAGTCTGTTTTTAAAAAACCAATCAGATCTCTCTCTCTCTCTCTCTCTCTCTCTCTCTAGCGATAAACCCACCGTTGGCCACTATTTTGGCCGGCAACTCCCTCATCCGGCCACCGTTGGCCATGAGACTAGTCCCAAATGAACCGATTCGCCTTCCTCTTCGCATCCTATCCTTTCTTTGCTGCAAACGCCACTAGTGCCGTCGAAAATAGCTCAAAAATTGCCCGTTTTCTTTGAAACTTTCCGTCATCGTTTCCGATGATTCCGGCCACCAAATTGGTCGATCCAGGTGTGCTTTCTCATCCTTTCAACATGACTTAGCTGATGATTGGGTTGGTTATGATCGATTTTGAAGTTTTGAAGCTCGTTTTACGATATAAAGTTTTGACCGATTTTTGGCTCTAATTTCCAGCAAGTTCTGGCCATCCAAGAAAAAAAGTTGCTCCACTAGTTCTCCTGATCATGTAGGTATAGGTATTGTTGGGTGTTTTGAGAATTTTCTGGTCAACGGAATTTTCTCAAGCCACCCAAGCGCTGTCGGCTCCTGTGACGGCGTGTGGGCCAAGTTTGGGTGGCCCATTTGGTCCCCCATGTTGTCCCAAGAATGAGGTACGCTTAGAGTCGAATTTGGTTATCGTTTGATGCTCGAACGGATTTTTACATATTAGGCGATATCCGGTTCGATATGTTCAAACCATTGGATCGACTCCATTTCCAAATATGTTGATCTAGGAACCTCTAGAATCGTGTAGGAACTCACGAATCGATAATTGGAGTCCCGGATGCTCCTATTCAATAATTTAAAGATGATATAAACGGTGACCGTTTGATCGTGCGATTGTGAGCAATTCGACCGCTCGATCTGGACTATACTTGCAAGACGTGTTTGCTAAACTTTGTTGAACCTATAGGAACTTTTGAAATATTAATCATAGGTCATGGACCCCACGGGGGACAGGGTTGACTAATATAAGAATTTAATCGTATACTTAATCTCGGGTCATTTCAGACCATTCCGACTATCAGAACTGTTGAAAATGGGCCTAGAAACTTTCTTCAGTTATGCACACGCACTTTAAGGCGGGGGGTCAAGGTTTTGATTAAATACTTGTGGTTGAGCTATTTTATTAATTAAATATTTTTATTGCTTAAATAAGTACTCGAGCTCCACCAAACCTGCAAGAAGGACCCTCGAAGGATCAGGCAAGATCGGATGCACAGTGAGTGAACGTTTATTTTATAAATGAATTGTATGCAATAAAATTTTATTAATAGATCATTGATGAATTGATTTGATGTATGAACGGTTATATGAATATAAATATGCATGCTTAATTTTTGTTCGAATATAGAACATGGATTAAATGAATTTTCAAATGCTTGTAACAATGGGGTCAGTATGTTGATATTATATTTTGCAAAATTTTCTTTTGTCACTCACACTTTTAATGTTTTGCACCCTTAGGCAATAATTGAGTATCGAAGCACCACCACCGGGCATTCATCACCCACCACTCATCCTTTTCCTTTATGTAGGATATTCTACTGTAATCGTATTACTTTGTAAATTAAATTAATTAGTAGGCTCTGATATTGCCCTAGGAATTTTGTAAGGCCTGATGCCACAAAAATTTACTGTTGGATTGTGTGTGTTCTAACATTGTGCATGCTGAACGCTTGTGGATATATAAATTGCATTTTGTACATGTGTAAATTTTGGGAAACGAGCAATTTACAGGGGAGTGCCGGATTTTCGGCAGAAGTCAAACCTTAACAGAATGTTTGAGTTTTAGTTTAAAGAGCAATTTGGTCAAGTGTGCCCAGCACCTGTTAGGTGTTGGACACGCACATGGTTCGACACAGATTCCAAAATTAAATTTGAGTCGGATCCTGTCATAAATACTCTTAATCACTTGAGTTACAAGCCCCTTGCAATTAGCTCACTATTTAGAAATGAAATTTAAAGCAAGAAAACAAGATTATTACAAGGTCCAACTAATTAACAGGTTTTGAGCAACTGTAAAAAGTTAATAATTCTTTAAATTACAGTGCCACGAAGGGAAAGATTTGAGTAACCCACCAACCTGTGACGCGAAGGGAAATATTTGAGTAACTAACTGACCTGTTGGAATTTGTCGTCGCGAAAGGAAGGTGGGAGTAGCTAACTGACCCGTCAGAATTTGTTGCACGATGAGTGACCAATTAGTATAGCTAGCCGACCGGTCAGAGAGAGAGGGGGAGATTTCTGAAGTGTTTTAGAACAAAAAAGAATTTCAAGCAAGGATTGGTCAATTCCAAATTTAGTTGAAAGTAGAGCCACAATAAGCAAACAAGCAACCCGTTTGTAGAACATTATCATAAGTGCATTTTTAGAAGCGCTTATGTTGGAAGAAAGTTATATATAAATATATATATATATTTAAAAGTGATTCATAAAGAGCACTTAGAAAGAGCTTTTGTGACCCATAAGTACTTATAAGTTTTTTCTGCCAAAAGTTATCAAAAGCTAATTTGATGGTCAAAAAGCGGTTACAGGCTCCAAACCGAATAAAAATAACTGACCCTAGACTATGGAGATCAAACTGTAAATATTATGTCAGAGAGAGTTCGAGAATAGGCTCCAAACCCATAATCAGTATTAGTAATAAATAAATAAATAATAGGACTCAAGTTGTGCTCATTGGTCCAATAAAATACAGGAGTTACAAAACTGGGATGTTAAACGTAGCATCCAATCAACTCTTCCAGAAGCATTGTAGCATCTCTAGTGTGGTTTAGGAACATAGCCATCAACAGCAAAGTTTCGGGTGGCAGCTGGAATAGCTAAACGAATTCCATCAAGTTCAGGTTTTGCAATCACTTGACAACCCAAGCGAGAACTACAATGTCACAAACATAAATTTCAGTATGAACCAAATGCAAGAAAAATTCCACATGAAAATTTGTTAACCTACGTTTCCGTAAGCCCAAAGGCCAAGTCCAACATATCATTTTCCTCATCAGTTGGGTCTTCTAATTTGTTGTAATAGTCCATATCCTGTAGGATGATTCTACAGTTAGCTCCATATCCTGCAGGATGTTTCTTCAATTCTATTAAAACCAAATTTAAGTTCAAAAAGCATATTTCTTTGTAACGTAAACAACATACCATCACAATCACATGACATGTTGAACAGGCAAGTGAACCTTCACATGCTCCTGACAGGAGAGAAGCAACAGAGCATCAGATTCTGCAAATATGATTAAAGAACTATTTGACATAGTAGTGACTATCCCTCTTGTGGTTCCAAACAACTAAGTCTAATCCATTTTAAGGAATAAGTATGCAACAATACAGGTGAGAGGGACTGGAGGTCACCCAATGTACAGTCCAAAGCAACCAATAAGTATTTGCCAATCTAATTGACGAAGGCCTATGCTATCAGTATTATCAGTATAAAGATGCATGAAAATGATGAAACTTTAAACAAGTGAAGATCAAAAAGACTATTAAATAAGCACCAGAACCTTGCCTTCAAGATCTATATCATTTTCATGGGCAGCTTCTAGCATAGACATTCCAGTAGGAACCTTAATATGTATTTCCTCTCCATCCTTATCAACAAATGTCACAGATATCCTGCAAATAAATCATCTGTGTGTGAAGAAACAACATAATAATCTTACAGCTGATCTCAACTCAAAGGAGAATTAGGGCCATGAGGTGCTCCTAATTGACATACAGAAAAACATTGCTAAAGCTAAACCAATTTGCAATTAATTTTGCACAAATAAATGCGGAAATATATGTTTAATCTGTGCATGTGCATTTGACTGCTTTCTCTCATCATTATTGTACTCCTCTGAATCTATCTACTCACATTATTACTGATCACAATTTTTAATGCATTAGCGTTAAACCATTTAAAACCAAAAGAACTTACTTTTCTTTCTGCTCAATCCCTTCATTTGAAGAATCGCTGGCACTAACGGTAGAAAAAAGATGATGCTTGTGAAATATGGCTCCCCGCAACAACTTAGTTTCAGACTGTTGATCAAACTGTTCATAAGATAAAGAAACCATAAATATAAGAACAAAAACATGAATGCACCTACGCAAGCTCATTCTACTAAAATACATAAATGTAAAAACTACTCGACGCTTCACATTAATCATCCTTCAACCCACGTATCACAATTCAAATATGATTTCAGTTCCCTTCTTCAGAAAATACCTAAAATAATACGAAGAATTTGAAAATGTCATATATGCCTTCATTTAGAATTTAAAATGGTCTTGGTAATTCTCAAATTGCTTGCCAAAATTATATCATTAAACCGACTTTGTTTTATTAAATTTATTTCCATTGTTCTTAAATGTTGACCTAAGTTTAGCAACAGAATGAAACACGACTAATTCACTCATAATGATAAAGACCACCCTTTACAAATAAAACTTATCTTGGAATGAATACAGTCCATTTAACTTCAAAATTTGCAAGGCACTCTACAGTGTCCTAGGTCTAAAAGAGTATCTCATTCTATACCATATAACAAAGAATCATGCAACTATGTGACATTAAGAGGAAAATAATGACAAAAGATAGTAGTTAATATCACTTGGGATTCTCAAATGTCAAATGTAAGAGAACAAGTAATGGTTTCTAATATAGCACCACCAAGAAATGAAAGAAGAAAGCATATATGGTTCAGGCTCTCCTTTCCTACCCTGTAATTCTCAAAGGAGTAAACTTTGCTGACAACCACCCATTATTCGAAGACAGAAGTGGTCACTAAAAAAAACAACAACAAGATCCAGAATAATTCAATTTGTGGCATTTCATTAAATGGTTTTGTTTAAATGTTCTTTTTCTTCAACCCTTCACGATGTACTGATTGATAGACCTAAAACTTAAGCATCCAGGATGAATACAAGAAACAAAAGGTTACACCAACTAGCTAATTCTATCAGAGGAGGAAACTGACCAGAGGTTGCAAGTATTGGTTGTAACAACTGCTCGTATTATATCCTGCTCTGCTTATGGCTGTGGCTTTGCCTGCAGATTGCAAAAGATGGATGCAATTGGAACCAACCATATGAGAATGACAAGTAGAAGAAAAATACTTGAGAAAAAATGGGATTTCTTTTAACAAGGTGAGCTTCCAACAGACAGACATTAGCTAAATAAACAATTGTAAATTTCAGTGCATACCTCCGGAGAGTTGTTTGAGTATCAAAACTCCGATTCTTGAAACTCTAGAAGCAAACATAATCAATTGTCGAACCTCTCCTCTTACTAAACCCTAAACTCCAACAGAAAAACTGCAAACACAAAAACAGCTCTCCTCTTATAATTCTTTTCTTGTTTTTCCCAAATGGCAAAGAAGAAGAAAATTAAAAGAGAAGCAGTGGGCTCTAGAAACAAGCATAGCAATTGGGTAATTCGTCAAAGTTAAAAATAGCTGGGCCTCAGAAGATTTTATGAGCCAAGAAAGATGTTAGTAGAGAATGGGCCTAAAAAGTGAAAGTGAAGTTCCTACTTGGTTTATTTATGGTTAAGCGAAGCCCAAACCTCCTCTCTCCTCTCCTCAGCTGACGGATTGATTATATTTGAATTATAGCCGTTGGGATCTCAACGTCTACTTTTCTCTTTTCTTAAATTTTTGTTGCCAATCAACGGCTACTTTTCTAATACAGAGTTCTTTAAAACTTGAATATAGCCGTTTAGAAATTTCATTGTGATAAAGCTGGTCTCCGCTTAGCTATTCTTTGCATTTCATTTGAAGTGAAGAAAGAACCTGAGTGAGATATCTTGCAGCTGATTGATTTCTTGCCTAATTCTCGCTCATTCCCAAAAATAAGCAACCGAAGTGCTTGCAGCTCCTCCCACAAGGTAGGCAAAAATTCTCTTCAAACTAATCCATTTCGACAATTTCCTTTATAATATAATCTAGTATTAGCTAGTTAAATGAATTAAAAAGGCAATTTTTGAATCTGGGTATAATATAATCTAGTTTTGTTTAATTTGTACAAATCAATTAAAAATGCAGGATCTTTGGCTTCCAACAAACTTAAAAGGAAAGGGAAGGGAAGGGAAGGAAAAGAAAAGGCAAGAAAGATGAACGACCTGATGACAAAATCCTTCACCAACTATGTGGATCTAAAGAAAGAGGCTATGAAAGATTTGGACCTTGAAGCTGGGCATAATAATGTGGAGATGTCATCTTCCACGACCCATATGCACACCGACCTTGGTCTGTTCTTGGAAGAGGCCGAGAAGGTGAAGCAGGAGATGGGTTCTGTCCGGGACATTCTGGGCCGTCTACAGCAAGCCAACGAAGAGAGCAAGTCCCTCCACAAGTCTGAGGCTTTGCAGTCCTTGCGCAGCAGAATTAATGCGGACATTATGACGGTGCTGAAGAAAACCAGGACTATCAGATCTCAGCTGGAGGACATGGACCGTGCCAACGCCGCCAACAGGAGGCTCTCCGCCTACAAAGAAGGCACCCCGATTTACAGGACCAGAATTGCCGTCACCAACGGACTGCGAAAGAAGCTCAAGGAGCTTATGATGGATTTCCAGGGCCTGAGGCAGAGGATGATGACCGAGTACAAGGAGACTGTGGGGAGACGCTACTTCACGGTGACTGGAGAGCACCCGGATGAGGAGGTTATCGAAAAGATCATCTCGAATGGGGATGGAAACGGCGGCGAGGAGTTTCTTGGGAAGGCCATACAAGAGCATGGGAGGGGAAAGGTGCTGGAAACTGTGGTGGAGATACAGGACAGGCACGACGCGGCCAAGGAGATTGAGAAGAGCCTGCTGGAGCTGCATCAGATATTCTTAGACATGGCTGTGATGGTGGAGGCTCAGGGAGAGCAGATGGATGATATTGAGCACCATGTCATGAACGCTTCCCACTATGTGAAGGATGGAACCAAACATCTGACGACTGCCAAGGGATACCAGAGGAGCAGCAGGAAGTGGATGTGTATTGGAGTCATAATCCTGCTCCTGCTCATTCTTGTCATTGTCATCCCCATTGCCACTAGCTTCGCTAATTCTTGAATTCAATTGGCAGTACTTTGTGTTTGCTTCAATTGCTTGTGTTGAGGCCTTGAGGAGGATGTTAATGCTGTTTAGTTTCATCTGTGGACTTGTTCTGTTTCTTTTTCTTTTTTGTTGGGTCAAATTTCATCTGTGAAGTTGGATATGTTGCTTTGGTTCATTCTTTTATTCATGGAAATATGATTAAAATATTACTATTGGTATTTTAGTATCACTTAACTGGGCATCATCTCATACAATATAAATAATTCCACCTAAACCCTAACATTAGCAAACATTTCCCAACCAGACTTGACAAACCAACTGACTTAGCTAGCTCAGCTAAAATGTCCAACTCAGCAACATTGACTAAAGTACAGACTCCTATCATTCCCCCTCCCTATGGACACCCCACAAGGATCAAAATTTGGAAGTTTGGACCAAAATTAGCATAGCCAATTTCCTAATTATTTGGGCAAATTCTATAAGCAACCAAGGCCCAATAAACAAAACCCATTCAAATGGTCAAACGTTGACCAAACTAGTCAACCACATGTCTAAGGCCCAGGCCCATCGAACAAAAGTCAACTCTAAATGATAAACATTGACCAACGCATGGTCAATCAAGCAGACCACGACCCATCGGACAGAATGTGGGTCTGACATAGTAAGAAATTAATTAATGTAATTATAGCCAAGATGAATGGTTTTAAATACAAATTATGGTTAATTTAGAATACCCGGTTCATTCTTACACCGTAAATAATTAATTAACATACTTTGAGTAATATTTCAAACCATGATGTTGCCCCAATCTTTGATTTGTTTCCAGGAAACAATACGTTTGGACTGAGAATGCATAAAGGCCTAACAAAAGGACTCTCCGAGTAAAATAGGTTTTGGGCCGTTCAGAATTAGAAAACTAAATGTCCAAAGATTGGGGCCCAATGTCCATCTTCTCCAAAAGATTTGACTTTCCCATAAAACCGTTGTTAAGCAACTTTTACCCGGTTAATAGTGTGAGTATCCAAATTTGAACTCGAAGTTGATTTCGACAGCTGAAGAAGACTCAGGCGGTAAAGAAAGGTTGAGCAACCGCATTAAATGCGATTTAAACCGTGAGACTCATCATCATCAACTTGGTAAAACACGGCTAAACACGTGGATCAAAGTAAAATCAAAGTCTATCATTTCACCTGTAAAGAAAGAACAGGCACAAGGTTGAGACATCTCTTTACCAAACATGCAATTTTAAGATTCAAGGAGTCTATAAATGGAAGTAGAACTTACAATCCAAAGGACAGCCAATCCTAAGAACAAACAACCAATTTGAACAATATTCAAATGTCCTTAACTCAAAACACCTTGTCAAAATATCTCACAGCAGACCAAAGCCAAGACTTGAAGCAAATCCTCTCATATTCTTTGAGTTCCCAGTTGACAACTCCTGATTGGAACTTCTCCCAAACACATAATTTGTTTAATTCTTAGTTGACAACTCCTTGGAATTACATTGCTATTGTTTGTAACTTTAATGCTCTGCCAACTTTATTGCTTGGTATGATTTTAGAAGTTGGTCACCAATTCTAGCATCTTTAAAATCAAATTTGTATAAATGACCTCTTATATATATTGCATATATTGTTGACAAAATCTCATTGGACACATTGCACTATCTCAAGTAGATTACATTGGTGTCCGAGAAAAGTTGTTTTTGTCCAATATGGTTCCCCTGGGCCTTGTTAGACCTTTTATTGTTTTCATTTGAGTTTATTTAGGTATACTTGGACTTGTATTTGCTTTCTTGTAACTGCATTGTATTCATCGAACACTTTTTACCTTTAAACTTGTATTGTACTTTATGTTCGATATCTAGTTAAAATCTCCATTCCTTTTGAGTTTTATTCCATAGCAAGTGAAATATTGAAGTCCTCTTAGTTGAGGCTTAGAAAAGAACCTATCCAAGCTAGATTCCCCACTTGGAGCACAGTGGTTTTGGTTAGAGGTTAAGATCAAACGAGCGCAATACATTCACTACAACATTTCACCTTTTTCTACTAGGAGAGTGAAACATTAATAGTGGCACACCTAACGCACTTGAGAAAGACCAGTATCTAAGCCCATTATAGGGCTCAATCTTTCATTTCTTGACCAATAAGTAAACCATAGTAGCCAAAGTATAGCCTGTTAGAAACCTAGGGCATCGCAGTGTTCACCAAAAGCCCACAAATACTTTTGGCATGTACAAAGTTATAGTATTCTCCCCAAGTAGCCTATTCTTTGGAATGGTGATGTCCAAGCCCTATATGTGATAACAAGCAATGACAAAAAAGGAACAATAGTTGGGCCAACCAATATGCCACATATCAGTGTTCATTAAACTTAATTAGGTTGCAGTACATGGAATGGATGTGAAGCTAAGGATTTGTGCTGATATGACACCAATCTAAAAGCTCGATCAGCCCTGCCTTTTGAGTGACCCAAGGCTATAAATTAAAATGAGACCTTTTGTATGTAATCATAGTTTAACATAGAAATGCTTTTTTAGCACGTATATTTTTTTTTAAAAACATAGTAGTTTCATTCAACTACATAAAATCATAAAACATAAAAATAAAATAAAAACATCATATTGTTGACCAAAAAAAAAAAATAATAATAATAATAAAACCATCAAACTATAAATTTTTCTTGAATGGTGTTGGATTAATTGTGTTGAGGCCCAAAAAAGTCACGGGAAGCCCAAAGACATTTAAAGCCCAATATAACATATATTGTCGGTCATGCATTAATCCAAGCTGTATATTGGGATTTAATTCATTAAATAAATATAGAAATAGCGTACATGCCATGCCAAACTAATAATACATTTTTCTCATGCCAATCACCTATCAAGCTCACATGAACCCAAGTCATGTGGTTTACGGGGCTTGCATGAGGGATTGTGGTGTGGAAGGTTACGGAGGTCCACAAGGCCCACGGAAGCTCTTGGATAATGGAGACTTTGGGCTAGCTACTTGGGAGCACCAAAGTCCAAACCTATTACTTAGAGTTCTCCAATGTGGGTGAGCAAATGAGATATTTTTCAAGCACTTCATTTTACCTATAGGAAATAGTCATTTTTCAAATACCTAGCTTTACCCATTGGAAACAAGTCTTTTCCAGCACTTACTATTACCCACTGGAAACAAGCAGTTTCCAATGCTTCCTTTTACCCATAGGAAATAATCAGTTTATGGTACCTAGCTTTACATGCTGGAAAATAGTATGCCCCAGTGCTCCCTTTTAACCACTGGAAATATGCTG